CACAAACAGCACAAACTGCACAAACAGCACAAACTGCACAAACAGCACAAACTGCACAGAGTGTACAAATTGCATAAACTGTACAAACTACACAAACATGTACAAATACGCACGTACTTCGCAAATGATGAATGTGGAGTAAATTTTCAAACGGAAGAAACTTGGCACCCCTCTCGGTCGTACGATGAAACGTGAAGTCGGCTGGTGAAGAGAACGAGAAAGAAAAAAATAAATAAATAAAAAACAGATAAGAAATGAATAAAAAATAAAATAATTAAGGCGCAAAGGTTTCATTTTAAAAGCGGCGCCATCGGAAGGTATGCGCGGACGGGTGACGCCTATCAACTATGCGAACGCCATGCTATGCACGTACCTACGGACGTACCACATCCCCACGCGGAGGTGGGGTGGGGCCAACATATTAACTCAGAAATGGACTGGACGGAATTTTATGCGGATTGATGCATATAATATGGAGGAAGTAAAAATGTCGAAGCTCATCAACAGGGAAAGCAGAAACGTCTATGCTGTATGTTCCTGTGTAGGTTATTCTTATGCCGCCTCGTGCAATTTGTGTAGGATGATTTGGGGAAAAATGAGAAAAGGTCAATTTTGCTGTGCTCTGTCACTCTTTGCTGCGGTTTGCCACGCTTTCTTCCTCTTCGCTGTGCATTGCTGCGTATCATCCCGTTCCATTTTATTATTTTTTTGTTTTTTCCCCCTTCTGCAATGTTCCATGGAGCTTCTCTGTGGAAAAGGGCGCCAAGCAAGGAATAGCACATTTTTCCGTCGTCAAGCCGTAGGGGAAATATTGGAATAGCAATTATGGTAGCGCAAAGGACGCAGCGAGCTCGCGCCAGAAACCAATTTTTCGTTCACCAAGGGGAGAAGCACGCTGAGAAATGTACACTGTATCACCCCGCGCGCACTTGCTCAAGTTTATGTAGGCGGACAAACTCACTCAAATAGGGACTGTATTAGGAAAGCCAATTAATCTGCTCACTGCTTATGCCGTGCCCCTCCTATATCCACGAACTCACAAGCAGACCAGGCGCTCTTCCCAAATGTACAATCAATCTTAAGTGCGCTGTAAAAGAAAGAAACAGCCATGATGTTGTGATGAGACTTCACCTCCACCTTAGAGGCATTTTCAATTGTGCCCATTCAGGTGTTACGTGCTAGGGAAGTGCGGCGAATTAACTTCTCGGCGCAGCTGCACACCGACATTCGAGATTGGAAAAGTGCTTTAAAAAAGAAAAAACGTCCAAAACATGCACAAAGGAATGTAGCACATTTGAAAGCGTAACAAGTGTTGGCTCCTTTTTAATCGTTGAATGGTGCAGTGAGAAGTAGGTGAGGGAATTATCAACGCAGCTGAGGAAGGAATACCACGAAGAAGAAACGCAGTTTATGTTCATGTCCCACCTTCGTAGAAGGGGCCACTATGTAAAAAAATAAGCTACTTGATGGAGGGCTATAATTTGGGTAGTGTGCCTCGATAATGGCGAGGAGGGGTGGGGGGACCAATCCCCATAGTGACAAGGGTAACCACAGTAAAAAAAAGCCTGCATGTTTGTATCGACTCATTTGCTGCAAAGGGGTACTCCTCAGCCGATTTTGTTATTTGCCCTTCGGTAGGTCCCAGTCGGAAGTATGCCCGAGTGGACAGACCGCTTCCCCCCCAAAGGAGTTCCTACGTACGTGAGACGTAATGTACCTGTCCGATACTCAAATTTAACAAAATGAAAAAAAAAAAAAAAAAAAAAAAAAAAAAAAAATTAAGCGTTTCCCATGTGCGAGATGCATACACATGAGTCCCTACAAAGAGAAAAAAAAAGAATTGCTATAATACCTTCCCTTGTAAACAATCACACATGTAAAACTTTACAATTTAGAGCAAAATACAACTTCGCGGCAAATATAAGCGCAATTGTAAAAAAAAGTTTGTTGCGAAAAGTGCACACATTTTACTTTAATTTTCGTCGCAACTTGTTCACTTCGCCAGGCTCAGCAGCGACACCATTGCATCCGAAGCTGAGTATCCAGACTACGATCTTTGGCCCACTTCAACACCTTGGGAAAAGGGAAACAAAATTTAGCACCAAACAGGAGGGGGTAACGGCGAACAAATAAATAACTGAACAGGAGGACCGCACTTATATGTTGTGAGCCAGACAAATAGGAGGTTACACATAATGGGGGTACAGACATGTGATCCTTCGTGTTAGTGCCCAGTTGGGGTGACGCTTGCGCTCCGGTATGCGATGCAGTTCGCGATGCAGTTCACGCTTCACTTCCCTCGCCCGTGCCGCCTCTCACCCCCCACCCCCCGTCTTGCGCCTCTTCAATTCTTCAAAGTATGCCCCCGCGAGCTCCTTCGGCACGTGCACATTTTCATAGTAGTTCTTCCCTCCCTTTGGAAGGCCCCCCAGCTTACTGGGAGCAACGGGGGCATACACAGGCATCGTGATCCCATGAGCCTCTTCATTCATAATTTTATTTCTGAGAGTGCTATCGAACGCGGCAATGTTCTGTATTAAGTTACGATACTTATCGCTCTGTTTCTTGCACTCCACGAGAAGGTAATTATAAATCCAAACGTCTGCACTTTGGTAGTTATCCACTGCTCTGATTAGTCCGTTAGGGAAGGTAATTTCATCCAGCGTGTTCTTCCTATCGTTAATAAAGCTATTGAGACTCATGAGACTCTTTTCGTATTTGTACATTTCCTTGGTAAGTTTCCTGCAGATGCGGGAGTTTTTATTTTCTTTTCTGTCCTCGCGGCTGTTCTCGACGCTGCACCCACCGCTATACCCCCGACTGTACTCCCGGCTGTTATCATTACTGTGTGTGCGGCTATCCTCTCGGCTGTGGTCGCGGCTTCCCTCGTTGCTATTCTCCCGACTGTGCGTTACACTGTTGTTGTCAGTGACGTGGTTGTTCTTGTCCTCACAAATGCAGGCTATTCTGGTCAGCTTCGAAATGATGGTCGTAATTCTCTCTTCGAGGTTGTCCCTCCTGTGCTTCTTGCGACCTTTGCAACTGCCCCCGTATCGTTCGTTCAGCGTTTCGCTGCTCTCTCCTTCGTCCCTTCTCCCATCTGACGCATCTTCTTCATGACCACTCCTCCTCTTCAAGTCGATCGATTTGACGGGTTTCCCCTTCTCGCTCGCCACTGCTCGGTCCTTATTCTCCGCCTCATTTCCGAGATGAATTTTTAACTTTATTCTCCCCTTGCTTTCGCTCATTCTGGGGCTTCAAGTTGGATGCCTTCGATGGGCTGTCAAAGAGAGGGGAGGCACATGGGAGTGCTCAGCAGACGAGCATCTCCAGATTTGTGCATCCAATGGGGGACGTACACCCACCCACGTTCCTTTTCAAACTTTCGTGTGGGCTCTCTCTTTTTCGCTCCTCCGTAAAGTGCACCCTCCATTAGGACGTCCCCCTTGGTATAGAGAGCCGTTGCGAAATGGTACCTCCCCAATTCGGATGATCACACTAGCTGCATATAGGTCAGAGAATATCTTTTTTCTTCCCCTTCTCCTTCCTCCTCCTCCTCCTTTTTGTCACAGTCTATAAATGGCTATGCAACTTCGCACAAAAGGACTCACCAAAGTAAACCTCGTCGCGTCATGGCGAATTGATCGACCATACACTCAGCGATGCTATTTTTTTAAAAAATGAATCTAAAGGATGACATTAATTGGGATGGCAATTATCTATTACGTTTACGTCTGGTGAGTGCCCCCCTTCGTGGAGCTGCCCCATTTCGATGATAGCGAAACAATTCGGCAATGCATATGTCCCCAGTTGGCAGAAAAACGTTTTTAACGTCAATGGGGTGGGCATCCCCATTTGCCGCTATCGCCTCACGCCTTGTAACCCGATGACTTAAATTGCCGTGGGGAGGAGGGAATCAACCTGTTAATCCATCAAAAAAGGGCATAAAATTAAGGTGCCCCTTTTTTTTTCTTTTTTTTTGATAAAGAGGGAGGGGAGAAGAAAACGTTCGGGGGCAAATATATCCAAGAAGGGAATACCCTTTTGGTCTCTCCTCATGGAAACGCAATATCCCACGTGGGGAAAAACCTTAGGTATGCCCTCCTTTTAGGTGTACCGCCAAACGTTCGTATAAAGTGGTGAGTTCAAGACTTTACTTCTTCTATGCATCAGTTGTGTTGACGTGAGTGTGACAAAAAAGGGGGGTGCATTAGGGGGAAGAAATTTTAAAAAACATCCTGGCGAGCTGCGCGTAGGGTGTGGTTAATGTCTGTCCAAAGGGACACAGCCAAATGGAAAAAATTATCCGACGGATGACAACCCCATGCACACACGAAAAAAAAGGCAAAAAAAAAAGGCAAAAGAAAGAGGCAAATGAAAAAGTGGCAAAAGAAAGAGGCAAATGAAAAAGTGGCAAAAAAAAAGAAGCAAAAAAAGGAGGCAAATAAAGAGTAGCAAAAAGGAAACCCCAAAAAACTAAATCTCGCATAGAGTCTTGTAGAGGGAGATTATCTGGCACATCTGCTTCTCCCAGTAACTCATTTTACTTAGCGACTTCATGGATAAGTCAATCAGACTAATGCGGTAAAATATTTTCTTACTCCCGCGAGGCATATAGGCATTCTCCACCACTTTTTGAAATTGCCTGTTATCCTCTCTGCTGCATCTTTCTTTTTCCCTTCGGAGATGGGTACTTCTGAGTGGATATGCATTAGAGGTGAACCTTTTCGTAGGGATATATTTTTTGTTCTTCCTCTTAGCACACAGTATGGTAGGGACGCCACTCTGCTGATTTCCATTCTCTGCGTTTTCCCCCTGAATGGCGTTACCATCCTGGTTCTCCACACCGTTCGCATACGTCACGCTTGATACTCCGCGTGGTCGTCGTCTTCTGCCCCTTCGCATCACAATTAGTGGTTTGAATCGATTTGCTTCCAGCGTCTGCAGCAGTTCCGCATCGTCGTACCTGTTGTCTTCCTTCGCGTAAATGTTAAAAATGGTACTGTTATCGCACAGGGTCCTACTTATTAAAAAGCGGCATACGAAAAAAATCATATTCTTGTAAATCCTAAGGGCCTTCTTCGGGATGTCCTTCTTCCGATTCACTATAATTGTGTTGCTGTCCAATCTCGACTTAAATGGCTCACTAGTTAGATAGTCAAAATGGTCCATCGTTATCAACGTTCGGCTGCTTAACATGTGTCCAATTAACTTCCTCCTGTTTACCTTCCTTCTCAATCTGGGCTTATACATGGGTGTGTATTTTTTGCCGTACTGCTTCATATTGCGGTAGAGTCCATAGTAAAGCTTGCGTGTACGATTTTTCATTTCGCTTTGGACATAAGCCAGCTTCGATTTGGAGTACTTGTTCACTGTTCCTATGGCGTCGATGAGGAGTTCGTTGCCCAGAAGGAAGTGTGTATTCTGTAGGTACGTGAAGACGGCATGTTTAGGGGTGCCCCTCTGATTAGTCGCCTGGGTGTTTGTTAGATCAGTTCCCTCCTCAGCGCTGCTTAACACACACTGGGAGAGGCGCCTGAGTCGCTTGACGTCAATAAAACGGGACAAGTGTCTGTTCCTCGCAATATAGCTGTTCTTCCTCTCCGGGGAGGTGAAATTCTCCAAACTTGCACGGTAGTAAGCAAAGCTGGAAAAAATGTCTTCACTTTTTTTTAAAAAAAATAACCTCTCAAATGTTTTGATCAGACGTAGCATGCAGTGCACAATTTGAACTTGTCCAGCACTGAAGCAGTGGAAATAGAGAAGTTTATAAAATAAGAATTTTTCCTTCTCTATAATGTTTGTCAGCATGACTAGCCTTTCCGTTTTTTCACTGGTCTGGATGATGAATCTATCCGTGTTCAATTTATTCTTATGGAAGAGGAGGTAGTTTATGAGGCTGGCATTTCCACCTTGTCGCTCTATAAAATGGGAGATATTCCCTATTTCAAAGCTGGACTCATATTTTGATTTGTAATTCGAGAGTGCCTTTTTGACGCTGCACTGGAGATGAGCAATCATTTTGCTGACCCGCTGTTCATAGCCTTTTTCTCTGCACATAACTTGAATATAGTTCAGCAATCCCCCGAGGAGGTACTGGCATTGCTGGAAGTATAGCTTCACCGTCAGGGTAAACCGATTCGTAATGAACCAGTTGTAGTAATAATTTGTCTTTACCTTCCCATCGTAGAGATAGACAAAGTCGTGTTTTACTCTATGAATGAAATTTTCTTCAACCTTGATACGCATTTCGTTCCACGTTTTTTTTTGTACACGCAATTTTTGCATGAACATGGTAAGGTAATCCTCCTGCAATTTGTTCAAAATACTCCTGTACGTGTCACTCATTTCGGTGTAGAGTTCCCTCAGATGAGTGAATCTCCCCTTGAATATTTTTTTCCATTTCGTCTTGTCAGTTTTTGCTTCCTTGATGAAGAGGAGTAAATCTCTTTTCCACTCCCTGAGGGGGCACTTCATATCACTTGGAAGGATAAAGACGGTGGCACGGTTCCGACGCTGGTTGCCATGGTGGCGGCCACTACTAGAAGATGATTCTCCTTTGTTCTTCTCACGCTCTACCAAATTGACGTTCCAAAGGGGGTTCTCCCTCCTTTTAACCGGAAGGACAGAACTATCATGGAGGTACCTTGGGGCTACTACGGCGCATCGCTCGCAAATAATATGCGCTGCGTTGTTCAACAGTGCTATCAAATTGAGGTAGTAAATATCCTTGTAGGTGTCGAAGATGGCGACCAATTTTTTAATACACATGCAGTAGTCCCCCTTTTTCAGGCTCAACAAGACGCTTCTCAACTCCTGGCACGTGCAAGGAATGAAGTACTTGAAGAAGAACTTGTTGCTGAAAATGTAGTTGCGGTAGGCGTAGTTACTGTAGGGGAGACCCGAATATGAGAGGCTTCTTCTGTGGGGCCATTTCAAGGATGGCCGCTTCTCATGGGTGCATTGCGCCAGCAAACCGCAGATTCCCTCTTCCAGGATGGGGTCTGAACCAACCCTATGGCAGTAGTCCAAAATGTTGTACTTATTGGCGTACTTCCACGACATCTTCATTTGTATCTGGTTCAACTGGTTTATGCAATCGTTGATCGTGGCGTCACCGGTTCGTTTGCCCCTTGGGGGGGCTGCCTCTCCCTCTGGAGAAGGCGCTTCCGTGTTTGCCCTGTTTGCCGCGTCTGACGCGTTTTCCGTGTCTCCACAAGGCAGAGCACTTTTATCGCCTCGCTGACTGTTTAGGTGGACCAAGTAGAGCTTCCCCTGTGGGTCCTTGCCCCCATTGAACGGACCAAGCGGATCGCCATAAAAGAGATGTTTGAAGTGGTCCGCCGAGTGCATGGCCATGTCCACCCTCTTCCTACCATTGACGTAGAGGTTCACATTATTGCTATGAGATAGAAAGACGAAATTTAAATTCTTAAATATCTCCCAGTAATTCAGCTGGAAAAAATTGCTTGGCACGTAAAGGGACAAATGTCTGGAGTGGTCCTTCCTCTGCTTTATTAACTGTTGTATGTTGTATCGGTCCAACATGTCATTGTAGTCCTCCATTCCGCACTTAAACTTTAATTCGACGCTTATGTACTGGTCAGAGAAATTGATGTTAGGCGTCAGTTCACTCGCCTCTCCCATTGCGGAATCTTCTGGAAGGGCCACCTGTGACTCCCCCGTCTTTATATTTCCACCGGTTTGAAGCAAAAAGGAGGGAATGGAAAATAAATTTTCTTCCACATACCCAATGCGACTTTTCCTTGACTTGTTACGATAAATAAAATTATGCGAGTCGTAAATTGTCTTAAATATAACCTTACCAGTTGAAATCATTTTTTTCTTTCTTTTTTTCAATCGTTCAAAATGCTTTAACCGTTTGATGTATATCTCAAAACAGTGCAACACTTGGGGGAAAAGATCTTTGTAATTCATTTGCTTCAGATATGAAACGATTTGGCTTTTCACGTGGTGCAATTTTTTCTCATCGGTTGTGTGCTTAATAAATGCCTTCATGTCTCTCCAAATGTCCTCTGCAATGTGAGCTGAATTCTCCTTCAAATAGGCTAAAAATCTGTTGTAATATCGGAGTAAGTACGTCCTGATTTTTTCCATTCCATCGAAGAGGAAGTAATTGGCTCTGCTGATAACTCTACTAGGCAAGGTACTGCCACGTGTGTACCAGTACAGCGAATCCCCAACGAAGTCGCTAAATTGAGAATCAAACACGACGAAATTGTTATTAACAAGCAGATTCTTTTCAAATATCTTGACATGCCTGTAGCATATTTTATTTAGCCAATAATACTGCAGAGTAATATTAACATTTTTCACTTCATTTTCCTTCACCACTTTGATCACTGAGTTTTTTAGAAATATGTAGCTGTAGAAGTGGATGTGCCTCAATATGTGGAAGTACGCGTCTGGCGAGAGGGACCTTCTCGTGGGTGTCCTTCCCGACTTGGCTACCCCCCTGCTGTCGTTAAAAGGAGGTCTGATCTTCACCCCACTTGTCTGTTTCAGCACTATCATTTTGTTTCCCTCCCCGATGATTTCCAGCGTTCCCTCCATTGTGTCGCGCAATTAACCCTATCGGTAAGCGGAAAGGTACAAACAGAAAGCGGCAAGTGGCGTTCTTATCACCTCTAGCGGGGGGTAAAGGCAGAAAATGAGGTGCTTCTACTACTTCTCCTTCCCTCGTTGCGTTATTTTACTCATTCGGTGTTATTCCACTTGGAACGCCCCTCCCTGTTCTTCTCACGGGGGAAGATGCACATCGAGTAGTGTTTTCCCGGTTTGGGGTTGGACGGGGAGAGCTCGTACTCGACTGGAAAAATCAGTTCCTCGTTTATTCACGAACCTCGCGCAATGCTGGACGGAGATATGTCCTAGCACTGCGTGTAAGTGACAGTAGTGCAGGAACGTGTGGGCAGTCAGCTGATAACAACGGATGCGCGGACTCCTCACACTGCAGCGAAGGGAACACTACCCAGGCAGCCTCTTATAGTGGCTCTTTCGGTGCGTCCTTGTTTGTTCTCCTCTGTGAAGAAGCCCCCTGGCGGAAACATTTATGTGTGCACTTATGAGGACCATTATGTCTCCGTCCACGCGCACAGGTGCCCCTGCGCATGGGTAGAAAACGCGCAGGTTACCGTATACACCATTAAACAATGCAATGCATTACTCATACGAAAAAAAATGGGAGAATTTAAAATAAAAAGTTTCTTCGCTGCGAAGGTAAACTTCATACGCCAGGCATTAAAAGGGACAAGAAAACGTGGCAGGAGAAGAACTCACTTCCCCCTTTTTGAATAAAAAGCTGGCTTTCCTCGCGCAGCGCTTTTAAATTGCGTACACTGATTAGCCGTTGGAAGTGCCGCGCAAAAAAAGAGGAGTAACAAACAGGGGTTAACAGAACGGAGTGGTGACAGAAAAAAAATGCAAAAAAATCAAGTGTGACCGCTTTAGGGTAGCCCTCCTGCAGCCATATAT